TCTGGGTTGCAGTCAGTATGGCTAGAGGTGAGGTAAAAGTCCTGTTCTTCTGGAATTGGTATCTCCAACTGCCACATACTACTTACCTTATGTTTTGTGTGCTTTTTTTTATGAGACTTCAACTGAAGCACTTGTAGCAAAAAGTTCCAAAACCATTTTATTTACTTTATTTTTTTTCCACAGCTCATCAAAATCGGGTGTCTGCTGTTACTTTCTGCCTGACATCAGAGTGGGTTATCAGTACTGGTCATGATAAGTGTGTCAGTTGGATGTGCACCAGGAGCGGGAGCATGCTGGGGAGACATTACTTTACCTCCTGGGCTTCATGTTTACAGTATCCTTTGCTGACAAATTGGAAGAACAGATTTCTTCCCCTCACCCCAACTTAATTAGCTTGAAATCTGAAGTTTCCTTTCTGTATAACAATGAGGTTCAGATTTGTTTGTTTTAAATCTACCTATACCTCTGCTTCACTTACAAGGAAGGTTCTTAGCCAGTTCTTAATGGCATAAGTAAGTTTCTTGGTCTTCTGCCATTCATTATCTTCTATACTGAATACAGGAGTTTTCAACCTTTTTGGGTCAGTGTGTACCCCTGGCAGCCAGTCTAGAAAGCCCCCTGACGGGGGCCCTGACGGCCAGATGAGTGGTGGGGAGTGGCCCTGGCAGCCAGATGGTGAGTGTGTGGAGTACCTGCTGAGACCATCCTAAGTACCCCCAGTTGAAAAGCCCTGGAATATAATGAACCCAGCAACTAACTCCTAAGATAGCACCTTGTTTTTATTTTTCAAGCTTGTGAATTTAAATGACACCAAAGGAAGTGAATCTGAAATGTATCTACTGGTTACAAAAATGAATTGCAACTCCTACCAGATGTCAAAGCCTGGCTGCGTTTTGTTTGGGGGTTTTTTTCCTGTTACGAAACTGTAAGAAACTGGACTTTGTGCTTTACGGCTTGTCTGCATGATATAACTTTTGTTTATCAGGTTATACTTTCTTCTTAGTTGGAGACAACACTTTAATTACACAAGACAATATATAAATAGTCACCAGACTGACCTTGTGTAGGGAGAGAAAATTAACTGACTTGTATTATTTCTCCTAAGATGTATTTTAAGTACTGGAGCAAGGTAGCTGTGCATGCTGGTTAGGTTGTAATCTCTTCTAGGAAGGTTTATTCTTGGATGCACCTTTTATCAGATGCTCTGGGTTCTCTCTCTTACCTGCCATCCCCTGCTTAATCTCTTGTTAAAGCTACTCCATATCTGTAACTATTGCCCTGTTAGCACATGGCGTTTTATGGCAATTGGAACACAAACTTAGTTCATTGTCCCATGGTAAGTCTATCTTGAGGAGGAGGTTGTTTCTTCAACCAATCTTCACTTTACTTTCTAGGGTTCTCTAGGCCAGCTGGAGAATAGCTTCTTTGGAAGCTTATCCCTCTGCATAGTAGGGTTGTGCTGTAGATGAGCCTTATCTGGCACTCAGTCTTAGATTTTTTCCCTTAATTTCCTCTCAACCCTAGTTGGATCTCCTCAGCAACTGGTCTCCCTCTAATTGCAAGTTTGTACCCAGCTGGGACAGGGACAAGCTATGCATTTCTTCAAAATCGGTTAATCTTGCCAGTCTTTGCAGTTTTTTGTATTTATTGCTATTTATGAACTGTCCATTTCTGTCAGTTACCAGTTTTTATGTTAATTCCTCTGTAGCCAAGACTTCATATGAAAGATACAAGCACCACATCAAGAGGCACTTCCTATCTTCCCCTTACTGTCCTCTTATTTCTGTTTGACATAAGTTAATTTTACAGCCTTATCTTCAGACTCTGACCTTCCAAGTATAGGTCCTTTCCAAGGTGCTGTAGCAATTGTTTCCAAGTTGGATCTGACTTATTACTTGCTGCTAAATTATTTCTGTCCCTTAATGTTCATGTTTAGGAGTTGCCTGCAGCTTGCCCCTCTGTCACTAGTTTTTTTTTTTTTTGTCTGAAAAGCTGTGATGTGTTCCCTTCATATAGTGCTGTGGGGTTTTCGGTATGTAATTAACTTTGCGTGGGAAGTATGTGCATGAATAGTATTGTCATCATGGATTTTTTTAATGTGCTTTAAACTTGGCAACTTGTTAGCAAATGATATGGTCATAACAGCATCACCTCATAAACTGCTTAAGGCTGCCACATTGACCATCAGCCATTGTCTACTTCCAAGCCTGTCAGTCCAAATGCTGGGAAATCCAGGTTTATGAACTGTAATTGCCCAAAAAGAAACAGCTGTCCAGCCCAATGCCATGCTTATTGCCTGATTTTATTATTACTTAATTAGCTGTAGGTGTTCAGAATTTGTCATTCAGAAGTTAAAAACAAATACATTCTAGTACTTGATTTCCTTACTGATTTCAAAGAAATGTACTTACAGCATTGGGTTCTTTTTAAGGTCTCCCATCTGTGCACTGGCTTGGCTTTCTCTGTTTTTGAGGAATTGAGTTAGTTATGAAGTAACACTGGTAGAGTAGAAAACAGCACTAAAATTGAAAGCAGTCCAATCTTACTGTATATTTATTCCTAATGCAATGCTGCATGTTCCAAATTGCCACCCCAGTGAGAATAATGTGCATTTGTGTTCTCATCGTGAGATTGACCTGAAGGGTAGGCAAGGGAACCAAATCCATAAGCATCCAGTTTCCACTCCTATTGTGAACCAACTCCAGCTACCTTTGTAGGAATATTCTGGTATAGACTGTTAGGGTGGAAAAGTAAAGCTAGATATTTTTTAACAGAAAACCCCTTATTTTGGTTCTTAGTGACATGACTCCTTTTCTTTCTCTTTTAGATGAAATGTTTAAATAGCAAACAGCAGGTAGCAAATGCCCTTTTCAGTGTGTTCTGAGTATTCAGCATCCTTTATGAATCTAGATATACTAGTTAGTCAATTCCAAAAGGATTAACTATAGAGAGAGAAAGCTGAGTACATGTTTCTTGGCTGAGTGTTGTCTTTGAGGTGATGGCAACATAAACTTGTGGAAGAAGGAATACTGATATACTACCTTAGACACATTATTAAAGGTCTACACAACATATAGCCTCTGACATGAAACTTAATGGGCACAAGGTGTTTGAACATGTTGCAGTAAACCAGATCTTGAAACATCTGCTTTCTTACCCTTGTGATAATAGGCAACAAACCTCTGTTGGGAATCTCCGTAGGTTTATTCCCTTGAGTAGGGTGGTTAGACTGACTTCACTTTTATCCCTTTGCTCCTAACAGTCATCCTGATCACTTAGTTTATGTGGTATCCTTTCCTTTTTTACCCTTTGTCTTGCTTGTTTACATTGCTGGCTCATGGGCAGGGGACTTGCTTGCTGAGCAAAAGGAGATCTCTTGTCCTCTGCTTTTAGGCACTAAGTACCTAATTTGGAATACAAATCTAACCAGGAAGCAGAGCCCTGCCCTGGGAGGTGACACTAAAGTATTTCCTATATGATGGTCCAGCTTGCTTCTGTTAAGCCTTAGTTGCCATGACAATGAAACATGCCTCCTCCCCCCCCCCCCCCCTTCC